TATTTTCTAATGTCATTCAATGTTGGGTGTTTACAGTGAGATGCATACACCTTTGTGCAGACTTACTAAAACTGACTGACCAAATCTGAAACGTCAGGAGAGAGACCTGACTGGCACCCCAAAGAACCTAAATAATAAACTGTCACAATAGAGTGGGATTTTATAATGTGTTGTTTGTTTGTTTGTTTACCTGGTCGGTGTTGACTCTGGGCATCAGCCTGGAGCTGGAGTCTTCCTCCGTCTGCAGACCCTGAGCCTGGAGAAATAAAAACACAAGAAAATCATACATTTATTAAGATTTCTTTGAATTGTATTTATTCCAACCGTTTGATCAAATTGAGTTCTTATTGTCCGTCTTATTTTGTATTATTTTTGAATGTATTCCCGAGAAGTAAATGCAGGCTAAATAAATACAAGTTGTTAAGCCTTTTACATCTTTCCGATCAAATAAATACTTTGAGGAAATACTGAATACATTATTTAAGTTGTGTTACGCTAAACAATATGAGGTCTACAAATACTGGAATTTTTTCTAATTTGGGATATAATTAAAATCGTTCTCATTTATGTTACTTTTTTACTATTTCTCTCAATTTAATAATTATTAATGCTGTCTTTTCTTTAACTTTTATATTTCATTTTTATATTGTATGATTTAATTGTATTTGTGACTTTTTGTGAAGCTACACCTTGTTGTGAGTACGGGGCTCTTTTAAATAAGTGTATTATTATGATGTCTATATCTACAGAGTTACATAAGTGCCAAAAAGACAACATTTTAAAATACATTTGAATAAGATTAGCTTCTAAATGAAAGTCAAAACCTTCAGATTAAAAGCCAAAATACTGATATCAAGTAAGCTTCTCAAAGTGTGACTTTTACTTTGATAATACAAATGATGACCATTATAACTCGGTCATACGAAACATCATATTATAAAACCTACTTTTATTTAAAGCTGATTTGAGACGCACGTATTCAATTCTTTAACTCACGTGTTTGGAGATGTCCTGAACGGCCTGGTGCGTCTCAGGGTTTCTTAACGGCTCACTGAGCGACCGGTCGACAGGAAGTGATGCCGCCTGCTCGGCCCAGCCAATCAGAAGCAGCGGAAAGAGAACCAACACGGCGGCGGTGGCGGCGGGACGGAGGAAGGAGACGGCGGCGGGAATCATCTTCATTTTTCAGATCGATTCAATTATCTTAATCCTTTTTTAGGAGAGTGTTTTCTTCACTGCAAGAACAAACACAACATTAATATAAAGTATAATTGAAATGCTGAAATACAGAGATAAGACAAGAAGTACTTTAATGATCCCAATGTGGATAATGTTTGTGTTGCAGCAGCATAAACATTAACAATGTAAAGACTAGATACAAACAAGAAAGTAGAAAATATACATGTTGAATTTACAAATGAACAATAACAAGATATAAAGAGTGTGTGTGTGTGTGTGTGTGTGTGTGTGTGTGTGTGTGTGTGTGTGTGTGTGTGTGTGTGCGTCCTCACCTGCTGGCAGATGCTGTGTGAAGTTGACTGTGTGCTCCGTCTCTTTATACAGATCAATCCTCCGCCCACCTTTTCAGAAATATAGGACAGGTAACCATCCAAAAAACCCCAAGACACACACACACACACACACACACACACACACAGGTCACAGCTGATGGTGTAATCTGTGTTTACTGTCACTTACACCTCACAAAGAGGAAATTGACTGTCACTCAAAATGTGACGACAGACTACAAATAATGTCATCAATTTTTTCACAAAAGAGCATTTTTAATTGTACTTCGCTTTAATCACTTCCTCGTTTCGGGTTTTCCAGGGCATTCGTGTGTTTGTGTGTGTGTGTGTGTGTGTGTGTGTGTTAGGTAAACTTCCCTCAGAAAAATAACAAACGTGTAAATCCAGCTCTGCTCGAATCATATGATGCAACATTCATTACTCAACGCACCTCGAAGTGCAGCGTAATTAACTTCTGAATTATTAAAAGGACATACATGACGTGGTAAAGTGGACACACACAGTTTAATGGTTCAGAAACTCAAACAAACGTGGAGTAAATCACGTATGTTTTGTGTTTATGGCTGCGGGATTTCATCAATAAAGTTTATTTATAGAGCGCATTTGAAAAGACAAACAACAGGCGACTTAGAGAAGACCTGCATTTATTAAAGTTAAAGGAAAAACAAACCTAACATCGTTAAACAAATCCAATATTAACAGATATTATCCAGAACTTTTTCATTTCTCAGTTATATTTGATATCTCCACCAACAGAGAGGCTGTGGCTCAGTGGGTAGTGTGCTGGACTTCGAATCAGGGGGTAGCAGGTTCAAACCCCACTGCAGTCAGCATGTCGTTGTGTCCCTGGGACTCTTCACCTCTAAGTGCTCCTGTGGGCAGGGGCGGACTGGCCATCGGGACGTTCGGGACGAATCCCGATGGGCCGGTACTGAAGTGGGCCGGTACTGAAGTGGGCCGGTACTGAAGTGGGCCGGTCAGACGATGTGGGCCGGCCGGTAACCGGCAGGGCTCGACATTAAATGGCCCGCTGGCCCGGAAGCACTATTTAGACCCCCCCGGGCAGCTTAACGTACTTTCCACTTGCCTGCTGGGGCCACTAAAAATATAGCTTTAAAACAACAGTCCTGTGGTATTGGTATTTTGACTACTAGCAGTAGTGTTGTAGTATGTAGTAATGTAGTTAGTGCATACATTACTTTTGCAACAAATGTGTTAATTTTCTTCATTATTAGTCGATTTTATTTTGGACGAATGCTCCGGGCCAGTGGTTACAATGCTGGGGCCAGTGAAAACACAAGTGGTGGCTGGTGGACTGGCATTTGACCCTTAATGTCTACCTCTGCGATAAGTCACTAGCAACCCCCACCCCCGTCGACAATTTGGTATTTACTTGCGGTACCGAAGTGGGCCGGTCGAGAGTCCCGGGCTGATTTGTAGTCCCAGTCCGCCCCTGCCTGTGGGGATTGCTCACAGTATCGAGTATGTAAGTCGCTTTGGATAAAAGCGTCTAACAAGTGACATGTGATGTAATGTCATTTGTATTGTCTACGTTAAGTGTGTTAGCATGCTAATACCAGCTAGCATCTTTAGCTACTGATGTGCTTTATGTTGTAACGTGTATTAACCAAGCCCCCAGGAAGTGCGCCGGACTCTGGGGCCAATATTCGTTGTGGCCAAAGGGCGGTACTGCAACTCCCAAGTGATTCTGTGGCCGTTTCTCAATCTCGAGGATACTGGCTTCCAAGCCAATATTTCAAAGATGCTACGTCATCGAGTGCTGCCGAAGGACTGTTCCAATCTCCAGCATACATGGAATTCCACCGAGGCCGCGTCCTTGGTTTGGGGGTAATTTTGAGGCTGCACATGGGTAGACTTCGCGTCCTTAAAATCCCCACAATGCTTTGCGCACGGACCAATTTCCCCAAATCTGTGGTGGAAAATGTAAGGTGGGGCCTCTCATACGACGCACACCTGCACACTTGCTAGCCTGTTCCACTCTTCGTTTTCCGAATGCCAGGAAGGATACTTGCCTCGCTTCTGAAGCAAGTGACTCGGAAGCATCCTTGCGATTGAGAAACGGCCAGTGTCTTCTCACAATGCTAATCGATGGGTTGGGTGTGCAGCTACGATAAGTAATAAGGGTGTTATACCGTGTTTTCTGTGCAGTATGCGTTAGCATTTTTCGCTCGCGGCTAATTCAGAGGCTCAGCGTTAAAAAAATGATCAGTTAGCTGAGTTTCTTCCCGTTACATGGATATAAAACATTCATAGTTTATTACATCTGAAGAAGCCCTCAGACACTTTTGCTTGCAGATTTTGTGGTTTCGGCCCCTTCGGCGGGTCCGTGGGGCTTAAGAGGAAGACACTGATAAAGACAGTGATGCCCTGGAATCTGTACAAAGAAGAGGAGCAAGATTCATTGTTGGAGATTCAGAATGGGACAGCAGGGTCACAGAAATGCTCAAGCGGTTGAACTGGGTGGAATTAAGTGAAAGGCGGCGATTGGCTCGTTTGGTTCTCTTCTTCAAGATTGTCCATAACATCTCAGCCATTGATGCATTAATGTACCTAGAGCCAGTTAGAAGAACCCGCAAAGCCAACTCTTTGAACTTCGAGCGAATTTTCGCAACTAGTGACACTCTTAAATACTCCTTCTTTCCAAGAACAATCAGAGAGTGGAACTTGCTACCAGAAGAAGCTGTCATCGCAGAAACCGTGGAGAGCTTCCGGCTAATTTTAGACGTTTAGCGGGGATCATCCATCCCCCACTGAGCGTGATACCTCTGGGTTCTGCTCAGTATTAATCCAGATCCAGACAAAAATAAGGATTTATCAGGACGTGGACTGTGTCATCTGCATAACCTAGGATTCATGAGACTCATTTGTCATTAGTTAGGGGTGTTTACTGATGTATTTTAGGTTGTAATTTGTATTACCCACATCACTTATTTCATAAAACCAAGCACCAATGAAAAAGCCCATTAAATTCAAGACCAGGAAACTGAAAGTACTAACTAATTTATAGGTTTTAGGAGTCATTATGCAGCACTTTTGGGCGAATAAAAGGGATTTATCAGGATCTAAAGCCCTTCATCACGTCAGCTAGTGTCATTGTAAATTGTATTAGCAATAAACCTTATTTCATGACACAAACACCAATTAAATTCAACACAAGAAGACCAGGAGTGCAAGAAATATGCTAACTAGTCATTGGGTTTTAGGAGACATTATAGCAGCATTTTAAGGCCATCATTTCAGACAAGAAAAAGGGAATAGAGGACGTACAATGGCAGGATTAGAGCCCTTTTTCATGTGCAAAACGGTGGAAACAGTGGTGTGTCTGCAGGTAAACCCCCTCAAGCATGAAGAATAAAAGACGCCTCAGATCTGATCTAAACTTGGCTGCAGTCGTTGAGTTTTCCCGTCATTTATTTCCTGGCAGCGTTTTCCTAGCCTATTATTTCCCAGGTGAACAGGGAAGGATCGGGTGTTCTGGTGCTTTTTCTTTATAACTTCATGGATGTTTTGTGCCTGACGAGGGTGTGAGGATCCCTCAGAGACCGATAGCGTGATGAAGGGAATACAGAGTGAGAAGAAACACTTGAGGAGATTTAACCAAAAGATATCACTGTGAAACTTTCCCCTGTTCATTACCGACACTAAAACTACTTTATTACATGTTTTCTGAAGATGATATGTTGGGTATGCAAATTAGGCGTTATGTAATGACAGCTTTTGGTCAATTTGATAGAAATGTCAATGATAAAAGAGAGTAAATCAACTCCTAAATGTGGATTTTGGATGATTTCTTTCCAAAACATTCTCCAAAAAAATTGGATTGAGGTTTCTCCAAGCCCCCAGGAAGTGCGCCGGACTCTGAGGAAAGTATTCGTTGTGGCCAAACGGCGGTACTACACTTCCGTATCAGTCGCTGGGCCCGGAAATACTTTTTCCCATTGACTTACATTGGGAAAGAGTGGTCTGTAAATCATTGGATAATTTTTTTTTAACTAAATGAACTACCCAGTATGAACACTTGTATAGCCCTTATTAAAAACATTCGTTCCTAAAGTTGTAAAATGTGCTAATAACGTTATTCTGAGAGTTATTTTCCTCGGCATTATGAACGCGCATCTAACCCGCGGGACCGCGCCGCCCGGCACGTTCATGTTACGTGTTCAGCACTACATGAGATTTACCTTTACCCTAGACTGGTCTTTACCCATGGACGCACAATAAGGACGGATTATATGATTATATGAATACTTTCGTGACGTTTCGCTCTCTCAAAAGTGGGGCCATTTTGTCTTCATGCGCCAATGAGCAACTCTCATAGGAATGAACGAGGCCCCGCCTCCCACACTGTGTCCAGTTCTTATTATACATCCATGGGTTTGAAGCCTTAAAGTACGGAAGAGGATTAGGGCCAAATGTGACAAGTTGTAAATTGTAATAGTGAGAAAAAATATTTAAGAATTCCAAAAATTAAAGTCCGAATGTTTTGATTATCGAACAAATTCAGAATACCGACTTTTTTCCCAAAACACAGAATTCTGAGATCGAAAAAAAATAAAGTCAGAATTCTGAGGTTTTTCAGAAAAAAAAACGTCCGTATTCTAAAATGTTCTGAAAAAAGCCACGTTTTTTTTCTTCTCAGAACTGAATGAAATGTTTCCCTTATTGGTCAGATCTCACATTGTGTTCACACTGACCCTAATCCTCTTCCGCAGTGATTCATGTGAAACGCCCACATGAGAAACTCACTGGATTAAACCAAATTCTTAAATGTTCTCTCTTGAACTGTTGTTTCCCCGCTGCAGCAGCTCCTTCATCCTCCCACGGATGCTGCGGCTGATTATTTAGCACAATTTATATTTCCGGTTCCTTAAACTCTTCAGGTGTCTCATCAGCTGTGCGTCAGAACGAGAAGTCAATCATGACCTGTCGCAGCCTGTCGTACGAGGTAACAATGAGAGGGGGGTCACCAAAACAATGGAGACGTTTGGAGATGAATCCAATAATTTAAGAAATATTATTCTATTATGCAATCAGGATGTGTTGTGCATAAAGGAGAGACTACAGGGTGAATACATGTCACAATGAAACTTCCCCTGTGGAAAACTGGCATGTTCTCTCTGTCCTCTCTCCCTCTGGATTTCATACACGTTTCCTTTGATGCAGGCGGCAGTGGCTCAGTCTTTTTGTCATTTGTGCATACAGTAGCTAAAGTGTAGTTATGACAGTGAAAATCTTAGGTCACTTTGAATAGTTAGTTTCTCTGAGGAACCTTCTTAACGGAGTGAAATGACCCGGGAGTCCCTCAGTGGCAGCCATGATAAGAGCCGTTTGAATTCTCTAGATCAGGGGTCTCCAACTCAATTTCATCCCGGGCCACATCAGCATTATGGTTGCACTCAAAGGGCCGGTTGTAATTTTAATTATATATATACATATGTAAATATATAATATATATTAAATAATGTATTATATTACATTGTTGGCCCTGCATTGGATTATTATCAGTTATGGTAATATCTTCCTAAATAACTACGTCTGAAAGCAGAAGTCTAGGGAAAATAATTGAAAGTAAATATTCAACAATTACACCACTTGTATTGTATATAATATTCTTTGCAAGCTCTTGCGGGCCACATACAATGAGGTCGCGGGCCGGATTTGACCCCCGGACCTTGAGTTTGACACCCCTGCTCTAGATGATAGGAAAGGAGGTTTGAAACTTCCTTATTATAACCTCCTTTAGCTTAGGAACCACTGGACCTTCCTTTGGGAAAGGAAAGGAGAAAATGCTGTCCCACAATGCCTTGCGCCCGCAGCATTTACCGTCAAACAACATTCGGCCGTTCACGGAAACAACCGATCAAGATGAGTTTCACTTTACTTTTTCCAACCTAATGAAGAGTATATGTCCCACTGCTGTCCACGGTCATAAAGCCTGCATAGAACCACA